TGCTGACTGAGTCCAGGCACACTGTCCAAGGCTCACTTGCCCTTTATCCTCGTCGCCTGCAAGTGCGATCAGCACCCCGCCCACCGCGAGGTCGATCCGGCCGTTGTGGAGCAGAAAGCAAAGTCCTTCATTGGAGACGTGAGCGTGTTTCAGACCTCCGAGTCGTCCCCGGAGACGCACCGAGGATGCCTGTCCGTCATCACTCGCGCGGCCATAGCCGCCAAGCGCCGTAAGTGGCTCATTTCCTTTTGTTACACGCCCAATTGCCCATACCCAATGCTCCCTCACTGCCCCCAATGCCCCCCAATGCCCATTCCAGGGTGCAAGTCATTGACCCCCTGCAGCCAGGTCCCAGGCTTCCATGGCGCGGCGCCGGGCCAACTCTTCCGCCGTAAAATCAATCACTCAAAAGGACCTTTGGAGCCGCAAGCACGAGCGGGCTAGCTCGGAGATCTCCATGAGGTTTCAACGGGGTTCAAGCGAGGTCAAGGGCCACCGTTATAAGCCCAGCGACACCAACAAAACTTTTTTCAACGCTGAAGAGTCCCCCGGCTATGATTCCCAGGAGTCTGATGACAACGACTCGGACGCCGGCCAAAGCATCATGTCGGTGAAGCCGTCGGATGAGAATGGCTACACCTTCGAGCAGCTGGTCGACCGACTGCTCGCCCAGCCCATGTCCAAGAACGACTCCAAGTTCGTCTCCGTGTTCCTGGCCCTGTATCGGAGATTCGCAACCCCGGGCCAGCTACTAGAGGCCATCATCAAGCGTTTCGAGTCGCAGAACAAGGAAAAGGAACTGCCCATGATCCGCATCATTGCCCAGCTCCGTTACCTGTCAATATTGCAACATTGGGTGGCCTACTACCCCGGTGACTTCGCCTACCCAACCACACGCCGACTCATTCGAAGGTTTGCATCGTCGTTGGCCTTGAACCGGGAGTTCTCCGTCGCCGCAACGGAGATTATTCGCGATCTTGAAATGGTCACCGAGGACGACGACACCGACTGGGCATGCAGCGACCGCCAACGAGCCCAGAACGAGAACATACCGACATTCCACAACAACGTCCTGGACGAAGACTCCGATGAGGACGAGTTCTCAAGAGCACTCGGCCACATGTCCATGAGCAGTTCGGCACGCAATTCGGTTGCCCGCAGTAGCGTAACCGGTGGCGCTTCATCCACCAACGGCTCCATGGGCTCATCGCAGATCCTGCTTACCCAAGTCGAGAAGAACGAGCGACTCGCCCGACAACTGGAACCCAACCCAATCAAGCCCATGTCCAAGATCCAGTGGCACCAGCTTATGGGCGAATCGGACGAAGCCATCGCAAAGGAACTAACCCGGATAGACTGGATCATGTTCTCTTCTGTACGTCCACGCGATCTTGTACGTCACGTCAGCTTGAATGCCGAAGAGAAGAAGCGATGCAAGAACCTCGAAAACGTAACACGCATGACCGAGCACTTCAACCACGTCGCCTACCTCGTCACCAACTATATCCTTCTGCGCGACAAGCCCAAGCATAGGGCGCTCATGATGGAGAAGTGGATGAAGATCGCACGACAACTTCGGAAACTCAACAACTACAACATGCTAGGTGCCGTAATGGCAGGCATCAACGGCACCGCCATCGGACGACTGGTAGCAACTCGGGAGCTGGTCCCTCAGGCCACCAACCAAGACTTCTGGAAGCTCGACATCCTCATGGGCCAGACCAAATCGCACTCCGCATACCGATTGGCGTGGGAGAACAGTTCTGGCGAGCGCATACCATATATCCCACTACACCGCCGCGACCTCGTATCTGCTTCGGAAGGCAACTCGACCTTTGTCGGCGACAAGAAGAAGACAGACTCCGCGTTTGCTCCACACCCAGGCGTCAGCGTCTTGGAAAGCGTCGTAGGGAAACGCGACAGCCGAGAGCCACCGCCAGGCGGCGTCGTCGGCAAGGAGCGGATAAACTGGCGGAAGTTTGAGATCATGGGCGAAGTCATCGTCGGAGTACAACGCGCGCAGGGTACCCCGTACCCGAACTGGCAGCGGTGCGAAGAGATTCGGAATCTGATCTTAGACATCAAGATCAACAAAGACGACGAAGTAAGTCCTCACCACGGTTGGCATCTCCAGTATACTGACATCATCCAGGAACTCTACGAGCGCAGCACCCATCTCGAGGCGGGCAGAGCCGACGAGAAGAGCAGGATCGCAAGATGGTTCCGAGAGCGTTAGTGCTTCTCTCCTACTTACCCACCCATCCCTAGCGCGCAGCTTTTCTTATCTTCATCTTTCATGTTGAGATCAGATAAGCTAAGTGCAGGTCTTTGACTACAGCCGGGCGTCTATCCCTGCCCTCGTTGCCCTCCCTACCTCCAACACAGAACTACCAAGCCGCCGCGAGCACCACCAACTTTGTGCGCATCTGAGCACACCCCATCCACATCATCTACACCACCCACAACACGTCGCATCTACACCACATCGCATCTCGGAACTATCTACACCACATATACCCATTTTATCCCGGAGCGGACTGCATTTTTTATAACGACATTGCTTTTGTTTGCTGTTCAAACATTATGATTGCACATTCATCTGCCATCGTCGTCATCTATCTCTTTTTTTGTTCTGGCTTCGTTGCACGATACCTCATATCCCTATTTGGCGTTACTTTTATATAGCGGGGCAAACTACCACACGGTTACGTTATCATCTTCCTTTGTTGCAGGCCGGGGGGTGGTGAGACGGCATGGCGCCGGTATGGCGGAAAAGGTATGCGTAGTAGTAAGAGTAAGTGGGACTGGCTATATCAATACGAGCCGCTTTTTGATCGATTGTTGGATGTTTTGCGTGATTAGGCTGATAGTGACTGCGCCATGCTGGTGCTGTGGAGGGCGGGCTATTAGTGATGACCTTCCGGGCTCGGGACGAATCATAGGCGGCATACGTGATATGTGGCTGGCTTCAGGCAAGCAGCGCACGGTTAAACGCCTATCGCTCCTGCAACAACAACGGCCGCAGCTCTTCACAGTCTGATCTTTCTCTTTCTTTCACCCTGAGCTATATCTTCCAGCGCCTGTGTGATCTTTCCGATTGTCTTTCTGTTTCTGCATCGCGCGAGCCTCTCCTGCAGCCTGTGTGTCACGTGTACAGACAGCACTCAGTCAACCACGTCAACGGTATCGCAATTGTCCCGCGTGCGAAAGCGCGTTCCACATGAGCAGCTTGATAGGAAGCTACACTCAGCTTTCAGTTGGGGGCGAGTTCTCCGGGGGTGTTTCAGACGGCACTCAACGAACTACCTCGAAGCTGTCGCAATCATTCCGCATGCCAAAACGCACCCCCAATGATCAGCCTGGGTGTTACCGCCTCTAGCGCACCTGCGAAAGTCGAGAACGAGACAGCGTTTCCCGCGTCTTGCGGCAACGCTACGTTGCGACAAGGGCCTCTTTTCCTGGAGATCAACAAACAAGAGATAGTACCTAGGTCCTATCCTCTAATTGAGTCTAGTGGGAAATCGGATTCGAGACCGTACTGTGGTAGAGCACCTACTCTCCCACGCCTTCATCAGCTCATTTCCAACTTCTGAGCCTAAGCTCAATACCGACTCGCTAGACCGTCACTGCTCTCCTTCAGATTACAACAACCGACAGCGAAGCGATGTATCCAACTGGTCAAACCCAATTCGTGTATGAACCATTGGTCAATCCAAATTCAGTGCGCTTGCTTAGAGTAATAGCGATGGACGCCCATAGTCAGATCGAGGTTCAGATGTGGGAAGACACAGGAGATACAGAATACAGATGCCTTTCGTACACGTGGGGAGACCAATCTAAAACCTACCCAATCTGGGTAAATTACCAAGAGGGGCCCTATCCAACTAGGATAATTAATCAAGAGGTGCAAGTCGGAAAAAATCTTTATGACTTCCTGGAACTTGCGAGCCATGGCAGTTTCGGTGAGTACTTTTGGATCGACGCGCTTTGTATCAATCAAAGCGATGATGTCGAGAAGAGTCTGCAGGTACAGCGGATGGGAGATATCTACAAGAACGCCAAAGAGGTTCTCGTGTGGCTCGGTGATGGCAAAGAGAATCGTATCCGAGACCTTTTTTGGCAGATAGAGCGTGCAATTGCCGTCTCGGAGAAGACTCGCTATGTGAAGAGGAAAGGTCTCCTAGGTGTTGGGCCGACTGGTTTGAGAAGATATGGTGACGTATGGGTTGCGCTGGACACGGCATCAGCTGTTGGCTCCAACAACGGGTGCTTCAAGCACAGGAATGATCTCTTCGATATCTGTACGACTGATTTGGCAAATCACCCTTACTGGAACCGCGCCTGGACTGTTCAGGAGCTATTATCGGTACGGAGTCCGCAACGGATCTTCCTTTGTAGCGTGGCAAAAACGCGCGCTTTGGAAGAGCTATTACATCACTGTCAGGATGATCCACGGGTGAGGAGGATCGAGTTCTTACTGCTAGCGACCTCCTTCCGCCACGGTTCAGCAATACCCTTCTGGTTCATCTTTTACCAGCTTGGTCGCACGCTGGAATGCCGCGATCCTCGAGATTGCATCTACAGTCTACTATCTGTGACAGGGCAGGAGAGCTTTACAGTCGATTATAGCGAGAGCACCTTCGGCTTATTCTTCAGGTCGGCCACCCGTTTTTCAGCGTGGGCCTGTCCTTATCTTTTGACGTTGTTGTGGCATGCGCTCGGAATCACGCGCAAGAGTGTTGAGGAAGCTTTCAAGTTTAGCAACGGATTCCAAGTGTCGATTCCTATGCGCGCCACGACTTGTGCTCGCGGACTGAATGTGCGAAAGATCTATGCCCGCGGACTGGATTTGCGGAAAAGATGTTGCCCGCGGGGCGGTTGCGCCGATTGGCGTGCTACAATCGAGAACTGTACATCTCGCGATATACTGCTCTGTCCGAGCACAAATGTTGGAGTACCGCGGAGAATCGGTGAAGAGATACCTGACCAAGAGAACATACATGTTGTAGTACGGCGTGTGTCGAAAAACGATATTTCCCTGTCACTCCATACTCACAGCTTTGGGGTGCTTCCCTACTCCAAGCAGATGGAGCTGTGGTTTGACAAGAATGGGATTGAGAGTAGGATAACTAATTGGAAAGACGCCAAAAGGTACGCTGGTCTATGTCGAAGCGACATCAAGATCAACGACGAGGAAAACAAGGACGACGGAATCATGGACTCGTGGAAGTTGAAACCACATTTCACCCTCAAGATGACTCACGAGTACCCGATCGCCTGCGTGGATTTCATGGAATCTCAAGGGAAAGACGCTATCAAGAAGAGTCTCCAGAGCCTTGAAATTGGTCTTAGGAAATATGGTGATGGCGGCATCCGCGGGATGTTGTCGGCCACAGCGGACTTCAGCACAACCTCGTAGGCTAGGTAGTACATCCAGCATATATTACAACATGTATGACGAGGCATCACGCAGAAAGTGGGCTGAACCCCAGACAAAGTCAAGTGCTCTCGGTAGGCTTTGAACACATTAGCCGTTGCTCCGCTGCACACGACCGAATTCACGTGTACGCCTAGATAGTGGCTTTGTAGTTGTACGCCTTAGGCAGGGAGCGACAAAACTCATATTCAGATGGGGACATGACTAGCAATGTTCACGGGCCGGAAGGAGTGAGTGTCGCCGCACTACACCTGGAGGACTTGTTCGCGGACATCGGCGCGGACCAGAGCAAACTTCATTACCATAGAGGCTACGTTCAAGGCGATCGCTATCACATGCATTTGCGTGAGTTAACAGGAGAAAACATTCTTATTCATGGTATCGTGCACTGTAAATAGAGATTATCGAACCCTAGACACGCGGTCAAAGTAGTCTATATCGTCAGTTCCGCCAACTTGACATCCACCAACGAAGTTTTCGAACCCGACGCACTATCAACCCTCGATGACTTCATCAGCGCAACGCCCATCAGCGCATCCTCCATGCCACCGAGCAGACTCGCCGCCTGCTCCTTATCCCAATAGCTCTCGTTGAAGCACACGCTGAGGACGAGTTGGCCCTCCCAGATCCAAGTATGCACCATCATGCGCATCGTCAGGGTCTCAGCGCCCAACCAGAAGTCCCTGACTTTGACAAGGCCGTCGCCGATGTTCTTGCTGACCTGCTCGTCGACTTCACCCAGGAAAGCAAAGCGCGGCTGCGGTGATCCGTCCGCCTCGCACTTCTTGACATACAGCGTCTCTTCGAGGCGCTGGTGGAAGAACGGCGACGACGGGAGGTACGGCGCGTACCCGGCGGCATAGACGGGTGCGAGTTGCGAGTAGTAAGAGTCGAAGTCTGTTTCCGGGGAGACAATGACTTCTGTGGTGATGACGCTGGTGTAGCTTGTGGGAGAGTTCTCCGGAGCCGCGCCTTCTGGGATCAGAGTGCGCAGGTTGGAGTGGAACGAGGCCATGAAGCTTCGCGCTTCTTTTGTTTGTGCGAGTTTGGCAACGGAACTGATTAGGGCGGCGTGTAGAGCGACGTCGATGGCCAGAGCGCGCGTCTCGCAACTGTCCATGACGGTCTTGGTGTCACGCTTGGACAGCTTAACAAAGTGTCGCTGAGTGTACCCCGGTCTCTGCGATTTCATCGTGGGTGTCAGCTCCAGGGCTGGCTTGTGGGGCTCTAGTGCTGCAAGACGGCTTTCGGCCTGCGCTTCAATCTCTGGTGTCTTCTCGTGCCCGATTCCAAGCGTCAACTCCATGCTCGGCGTCAGGTTCTTGGCACACCCGCCAAAGACTAGGTTAGGGTTCATGTTGGCCAGAGACTCGACGAGGTGGTTGAGGCAGAAGATTGCGCCGCGGGCGTCGACGCGGTAGTGCGGCGACCAAATCATGACTTCGGATGTGTCGGGAAGGAAGTAGCACATCATCTGTTCGTTCCGTGGAATCCGTCCCAGCAGTTCATCCACAGTCTTGCCCTCGGCGACGGAGAAGGTCGCCGAAACCCACAAGGCGATGGAGGGTTCGTCTCCGACGCGGTAAATGTATCGACCGTTGTATGGGAATGCGGCAATCTCCGGGTGGTTGTAGCGGACTTGTTTCCAGGCCGTCCGCAGGTAGGCAGCAGGGTCTTTGATGTCGGGATGGAATTCAAGTTTGGCAACGGCGTTCTTGGCCCAGTTGTCGCGGCCGATGGCGTTGGGGACGTTGCGGGTGAGTATGTTGATCCGCTCGAGGTAGGTTTGCGCGCGCTCCCAACGACCTGGTCGGGTCTCTTTCCAGGTAGCGTCCTCCATGATCGTTTGAGTGAACCAGGAGTAAGGGTCAAGAAAGGATGAGTAGTAGTCACGACAAGATTTTGAGCCAAGAGAAGAGGTTGGGCCAAGGGAGGAGGAGATGTCGAGAGGAGTATGAGTCAATGGATGAGTATGAGCCAGGGTGGGAGTATGATATAGAGGGGAAGACAAGAGATGATAAGAAGAAATAAGACAGCTCAAGAGTTGGAGGTGGGCAACTGCAGCCGATAGATCTTGCCGCTTTCTGGGGTACGGTCTCACATATATAGCTAAGTGGGCCGCCGTTACGAGCGTGGAGTTCAAGCTGCGGATATCGAACGATTTCAGCGGCGCTACGTCGGTGTAGAGATGCGGAAGCGCTAGTGCTGGCGAAGAGGTTCTTTCACCGTTGATACCAGACACCAGAGTTCAGCTTGGGCGAAGACAACTTGGGAAGGGCCTTTTCCTGCAGCCACCAAATACACTTGGCCTGAGGCATGACCCTTCAGTGGAAGCAATATTCTACGCTTGTGTGCACGGGCGCACTTCGGGTTTCGAGCGCTGCGTGTTCTGGACGAGCCTGGGTCGTGGTGTCGAGACATATAGCCAAGGATGCGGGTCGAGGCGAACGGCCCGCTGCAAGCTACGTCTAACCTTCCCATCGCGCATCGCGGTCGTCATCATTGCTTTTTGTTCGCGTCGAGGGCTCTCAATTCATCGCTGTATAACAGAAATGTTTTGTTGATAATAGGACATGAGCCTGCATCGTGTATGTCGAGAGTTCACCGTAAGCCCGATCGTAGTTTCATACCTAGAGTGACCTAGACGTCGTTAGCGTACCTATGTCAAACTTTACGGTAATGTTCGCACTAAGAAACCGGAATTTCTTCACGATCTGTGGAAATCGATGTTGTGCGACAGATCGTAGGCTGAAGAGGGTTTGTAGAAAAGGGTCGTGAAAGTAAGAGCATTAGCAGTACACCATCGGAGTACTATATCCGTGCGCAAGGTCGAATGAGCCGTCGCGCGCCGCTCTGTACTCTCAAAAACATGTAAAGATCTAGTAGAGCTTCAGTGAGTGCGATCAGGAGAGATGCTCAAGAAGGACATGAAGTACAGTCGAGGGTTCGCAACAAGATGTTAACGATGACGGGTAGAAAGAGTAGCAAGAGGAAGAAGAGTGTGGTCGTGGGTGATACAGAATAGGACATGAATAAGGTTCGACAGGCGCCAACACGGTGGCGAGGCGTGAGCACCGACGTCATAGCGTGGATGGGAACGGCTAGCTGCTCCTTGAAACGCTGCCATTATCGATAGCGGCAACGCCGACCTGAGCACCAACGACCCAACGACTGCACCACCTACGTACATCGGACATCGCGACTTGTCCATGGGCCTCCTTCTGCTGACTAGACCGTTCCCCGCCGACGAAGAAACAATATACGAATCCGAAGTCAGCGACCGCGGTCATCCTGCAACACCCCTCATACCCGCACTGACCCCAGGGACTGTACTACGGGGCATGATACTCCACCGTCCACTACTAGTCGCCATGGTCTCCGCAACGTTCCTTAATTGCCTCTATAACATACCGTGATGGCCGGCAAAGCCGAATCCTCCATCCATCGGACATCCCAAGACCAAAGATCTGAGAGATGCCTGGTGCGCTGCTCAAGACACATTCGCAAGACACGTTGCTTCCAGGTCTTGGGCACTTAGCCATGGTTCAACCCGAACGAACTCAGCGCTCGACTCCATATCCGCCCTACCCGCTGGTTCCCAAAGAAACATAGGTTCTACGCTTCAGACTCTTGGCCGAGTGTCTTGGAGCCGAGGTATCGCGAACGTAGGGACAGCATTCACCATATCACATGTCTGAGTCGCTGCCATCGCCGATGCGCATCCGCGTGCCCTCTCAACTACCGTGGCCTCATCGATCAACACCAACCGCCGCCTTCCGATTACGCTTTAGCGCATCTATTGGCACACATTGACGACGGCATAGACGCGAATACGATTACAAGGGTGTGCGCAATGTAAACTGCACCCAGATACTGATGTCACTTAGACCATGGCGAACCCTTTAGCCTCGGCGCAATACACTCCTGTATACCTCCGCGAACTTCTCCAGAACGCGCGATCGAACATGCACCGCGGTGCGCGATCGGACGACAACGTCGCAATACAACTGGACAATATGTGTGTGGAGACGTTGTTTGGTCTCCTACGATGCTATCTGGGTATAGCAAACAGTGGAAGATGGCACTGTGATCTCTACATAGAGTCTGGAACCGCGCCCGTTGGCTCACTGCTGCCCACGTCGGCCTTATCGCTATCCATGAAGGTTGTGCTCCCCATCTTCACATTGTTGCGTAAGCAACGTGAACTGCAATGGTCGGCAGCTCATGTCATATTGCGCATTCCCGAGCGGGAGCTTGCGGTCTTGACATCGTTGCAATCTCGACGCGAACATCAAGTACAGCAGCCATGCCCGCCATCGCGTTCGCGTATCAAGGATCCCAACTAACAGCAAGAAACTCGATTGGTCCTATGCATATCTCCCGGTTGAAACCATCACGTAGGTATTGGCACAGGATCAGAAGAGTTCTGCACGATGTGTAATTCTAGGGTACATTGCCGGGCTTGTCCAATATGTCGGAACTACGGAATATCCTCGTGCTGCCGTGGAGAGTGATGAGAGTGGGTACAGCTATATGCCCTTCGACAAAGCACTTAACAGAGTGACTTGGCCATTTCAAACAAGCCCCGATCCCTGGCGCGCGCCACCGTGTACTCGATGTTCATCCCCTGCGATTGAAAGTTGTTCGACATCATATTCAGAATAGCTTTGTGGTTGACATGTGCGTGTTGTGATGGGTACACGATCCTGAGTTCGCGCTTCATCCCGACACTCAGCGCTCGCCGCATTTTGTCTTTCGCAGCCAATCTTTCGTACTCCGTGTGGTCACACCATGGATCACCGAGCTTAAATTTTCGCTTGTGTAGCGGTCCCAGTGGGTGGCTCAGGAGTCGAATTCGAATCTCGCACGTCTTCCTGAGCGCCATTCTTCTCAAAGTCTGTTTCACAAACTTGTGCAAGTGCTTGGTTTTGCACTTGGTCTGCGCACTGGAAGCCCTCATATTGCCGTCTGGTACTTGCTGCCGTACATACGTGTCGTTGTACCACGATGCGATCTTCAGGCTAACGTATTTGACCGCGGTACTGTGCTTTTGGGGCCCATCTAGGTACGTGCGGAGTTGCTTGCCGGCAAGATGGAAGGTATCCGAGAGTGCGACATACACAGGGTCTATCTCAGCGCGCGTCGGGCCGAGAATGATCTTGGGTGCAAGCTCGTCGTTGATCTTCTGTAACGGCTTTTGTGCGGCGGGCTGCTTCACTTCTTCGTGTATGGTCTTGTTGAGTAGAAGCAGTGCGGTTGGCATCCGACATACTTCCCAGCTGCAGATGCAGGGCTCGGGGAATACGGGATCGTAAACGATGGCCGAAAGGTAGTTGTAGATTTGGCAGCGTAGTTCGGTTGGGAGGGCCATGAATGGAGAGGACGCTGTAGCATTCATCGTAGCTGTGGATGGTCGTGGGCTTTGATAGGGTCGTCGTTCAGGCTTTCTCTTCTTGACGTTTCTGTCGGCGGGTGTCTCGTCGCCGGCCGGCTTATTCAGAGGATGTGTGCGTGTGGTGGCGCCGCCTGCCTTAACTCTCTTCGCAGGCTTTGCAGTCGTGTCTGCTTTGCTCCTTCGCTTTGGAGGCATCGCGGCGGTATCGCGCAAGGTTTTACGTGCGCCGTGTTGCCAGGTGTCTGTATCAGCTCAGTTTGATCATAAAATGTTAAGTGTGTCGGCAAGAACGGCATAAAAGAGGACGCGAGTTTTATCGCGATCTAAAAATTTGCTGTTTCGTTTCTGTGGTTGAGCCGTTCCAACTTGCTCGATGCTGACCAATGTAGCAACCATGAAACATGACTGTAGCTCGACGGTACCGTTCATGAGCAGAACTCGGCACCAATCAGCTGTGCGCAAGATGTCAAATATGAGTCTACCATGCAACAAGATCCACACAATACCGACGTCGTTGCCAACAAAAACTACTTCCCTGCCACCAGCATCCCTACCCCTAATCAGAATGGGAAGTCGAATACCTCGACGGGAATGCGAATATAGATTTCGTGAGACAGCTGGTATCAGGAAAGCGAATGAGGCGAATATCATGTCGAAACGCATCACATGCGATGAACTTTTAGCAACGGAAGCGTATCTGGCTGATAACATAGAGACATGTATAAGGTAGACTGTGTGAAGAACGTTCTCTGCGAACGTAACCCTGAATTCATCGAGTTGGCATTGCAAGCATATACCGTAGCTTACGTTCGCAGTGCTCGATCGGATGCCAAGAAGAAGTCCTGACCGGTATCGTATATGGGCGCGTCGCCGTCAGAGAAAGTCTCATGGGATTGAGGATACCACACCACGAAGGATGCCTTCGAATTAAAACCTCTGTAGTCCTTAATGCTTCTTCGCATCCTTCTCTTTCTTCTTCTCCACGATCAGCGCATTCAGCCTGAAGAACGACGTGAACCCTTCAACGAAACACGTGCCCACCCACTTCCACCATACCGCATCAAGAAACGTGCATCCGTGTTTCGCAAGCTTTCTCGCCATGATGATCGCTTCAACCATGTGGATAGGTACCATGATGGCCCAAACCGTGAAGCCAATTCGAGCGACGAAGCTCGCGAAGCCTGGCACAAGATACAACACCGTCTCGTAGAGAAGCGATCCAGGCTGCCAGTTTGCCGGCCGCGGTAGTAAGAGCAGGGCAAGCACACATTGCGTAAAGTTCCACAGATGAGCAGGACGCATGTACGCAGGAACGAACTTGGTGATGGCGATGTCGCTTCGGCCCAGGGTCTGGAGAGCGTCTTTGTCCATTTGAACAAGCCGCTCGCGAGCCTCGCGCATGGCCTTCATCGGTGGGTCGAAGGCGATCACAGCTTGTTGCCCACCACAGCTCAAGACCATCTGGTTCAGATCAATGTCGACCATCTGCGCGGAGCGACTCTGCATCATGGACTTGGAAGCGTACGCTTCGGCATATCGGCGTATCTACGGTCAAGATTAGGACTGGGACTCGAATTCGATATCAATGGTGCGTGAAATGGGTGGCGCGTACGGAGTCGTGGTGGTCTGCATTCATGTGCTTGATAATCCGCTGCTTTGCGGCTGCATCTGCAGCTTCTGGGGATGTCATGCTGGACTAGCAGTAGTTTGGTGTCCAATTGACTGGTTGCTCTTGTTGAGCTCTGAAGGAGGTACGTAGGGAATTGCCGTCGTCACGATACCCGCCAGACCGGCGCAATTCGGGCCGGCCATCGGGGAAGATCTGGTGCGCCCCGCGATTGCGTCTTCCCAACGATCGTTAGCACAACGCTCATGATATCGAATTTATCGCGGGATTCTTTCGACGCTGCGCTACCTCAGATCTATTGTGCACGCTATGAAGACGCGTTCCCATTTCCACGCCAGCACTAAACGGTCTCCCGCACCCTGTGGGTAAACGTTGCGCCAGACCACTGATCGAGGCCTCGCCCGTGCCACAGCATGTCCCAAAGCGTTGATGTCAAGCGCATTCAGCTGACGCGTTGCTCGATGCATCGCTGCTGGGCTTGGTGCGCGCGCCAATGACGAGTAAGCGAGACCAGAGGCACACGAGCTCGCAACGCATCGGGTTGAGCGGAACAGCTAGACTGTCGCAAGCACAATTTCAGATCTAAAATAATCAGGTTGGCAGCGCGCAGGGATGGGGTCAAGTTTTGGGACGCTGGCGGTGGGGTGGATGTGGGTGCCACATGGTGCGTCAGACTGCATGACGGGTGGCTCGAGTGCGGCAGGGGTAGCAGGTACCTTGAAGCTTCAAACCGGTTCCTGCTCCCAGGCCGCTTTTCTCTTATTAACGAATTGCGCCGCGGCTCTGGACTCGCAACAATTTCCGAAGCACCTTCAGCTCGTCACGCATCACCCGTCTAACTACTTCCCACCCACACAAGAACCACCCAAACAGCACCATGGCGGACACAGTTGAAGAGACCAAGCAGTCTGTCTCCGGAGAGGGAAACGCGGATGCCAACGCCTCGGTAGGCGCAAAGGGCAGTGCGGAATCATCGAGTAAGAAAACCGAAAGGAAGACGCCGAAGAAGCTGGGCGGAAAGAAGCCTCAACAGCAGCCCACTCCTGACGCCACTCCTGCCCCCGAAAGCGATGGCGAAGGGAAAGCTGAGCAAGAGGACGCAGAATCCAAGAAGCAAACCAACGGCGGCGACGCCGACAACGAATCCGACGAACCCCAACAAGAAAAGTCTAAGTCGCAATCGAGACGCCGCCAGTCGCGTGGCCGTGGCCGACGAGGCGCAGACTCCGGTGCTGAGTCTGATGCACGATCCGACGTGTCCCAATCTGGAGGCCGTCGCAACCGCCAGCGCCAAAAGAAGGGCGGCAAGGGTGGAGGTCCGCTAGACGACATCACTGAGAACGTCCCCGGAGGCGATGCAGTCGGTGGAGCCGGCGAGATGGTTCAAAACACTGCCGGTAACGCCGTCAACCAAGTTGGAGACACCGCTGGCAAGGCTCTCGGAGGTCTCACTGGCGGCGGCGGCGGTGAAGAAGAGGGTGGAAAGGACGGAGGTGAGCAGCTGAGGCTGCGCCTGGAACTCAACCTCGACATTGAGATCCAGTTGAAGGCCAAGATCCACGGTGATCTCACGCTTGGATTGCTGTAAGTCAAGTCTGCAGCCACTTATCACCGAAGCCAAATGCTAACTCTGCGCAGTAACTAGATGATGGCCGAGGATGAATGCACGAAACGCATCGATTGTTATATTGGGAGATCATAATGGCGTTTGGTTTGGAGTTTTGCATGTAGTGTTACGATACGTATTGCAGTATAATACGACACAATGAACAACTTGCACCATCACTCTTTGCTGAATCATCGCGCTGGCATACTGATGGTGTTGGTGATTCTGTAATCGCATCCAACTTCGTCATGATCATCGCAGCGTCAGGGGATGTCTCTACTAGGCGTGCTATTACCAGGCCCTGTAATAATACCCCAGTAACCGAGAGCGCATGCGACGTCAACTCACTGAGCATAAAGCAAGCGTTCCGAGCCTGAGTCTAAACTTGACGACTATTATGCCCAGGATCGAGTGTTGCACAGCCGTTGCCCGCGAGATCAACGGTCCGCGTTAAGCGATCGGCGGGCGGACTAGCCACTCGCGTGGGCGCGAGACTGGTTATGCTTCGCCATCGCTGCGCGCGTCGTCAGCATGTGTGCAAATGTCGGGCGACTTGCAAAGACGCGCGCAGATGCATCGTCTTGACATACGTCACGCAGCGGCTGTCAACCCGATTGGGACAGCAATGGCTGGTGTCGCTCGATGTGGGCCTGACGTCATCCGTAGCGAGCCTGAAACGGTGAGACGGTACGACGGATGAAAAGACAGGGGTGCAAGCTTGCGGCGGCGGCGTCCTTGCTTTGGGGGCTACAGAGGACCAGGCCGTTGCGAGTAATCTTGTTTTTGGAGTGGAGCTATCCGTACCAGTCGTGGCGTGCGTAGGCGTGTAGTAGCTCCGCTTGCTGCTCGACCTTGCTGACTTCACATCTTGCTCGCATCCATCGCCGTTACCTCGACACCTCTGCGCAATCCTTCACCTCCCTCACGCAGACAATCCCCATCTACAACTGCCTCCTCTAACCGCCCGAGGCCTTGCATGATAGCAAGGATACCCGACGACATGGCCGACAAGGACTCCGACTATGAGAACCAGCCGCACGAGCGGTCGACGATGCAGCAGGAGAAGGCTGTGAACAAGGCCAAGCAGGACAAGCGCGAGGCGGGCTTACAATCCGCCCGGTCGCGCTCCTCGTCGCGCCGCGCCCGCCGCAACCGCATCGAAGAAGACAAGAAGAACGGCAAATACATGCACACGACGTCGCTAGAAGCCCTCGAGGAAGCCGACGCAAACGGCGATCTCCAGAAGATGGGAATGTTCGAGCGTATCGGCCCGGACAGCACATCCATGGACGGGCCCGTCACATACGCCCGCGCCATGCGAGGCGAAATCCCCATGCGCGGCACCGACCCCAACCAGCCCTACCGCATGGAGCCGCAGCAAAAGGGCAGCGAGCTCAAGGACCAGGACGGACTGAAGCTGACGCTCGAGGCGAATCTGGAGATTGAGATTGAACTCAAAGCGAGTATCCGCGGCGATTTGACTTTGAGCTTGTAGTAAGTCGACCCCTGCCTTCGCCCTTTCGCTTACATCGAGCCTATACATGACTGTACGAGCGAGCGAGCGAAAGTGACGAAGTGTCTCTGGAAGATGAGCATGGACGAGTGCTAATTGGCATCACGCAGCCAATAACACAACTATCGTTGCCCTCTTCCTTCGAATGACATCGTTTGCGCTCGCCGTGCAGTCCAGGCCTCGACCACCACCCCTCCTCTCCTCCCCCCTCTCCTCCCCCCTCGTTGTTTCTTCTTCGCCAGCGTCCTGGCGAGACACGTAGTAACTGAACTTAACAGCGAATAGTGCTTGATGGATGTTGCATTCCCCCTCGTTCCACGACCGTCACGAACCCGCCCCGCAGCCGGCGCCGACCGCGAACAACGGGGCAGCGTTATATGGGGATACATGTTTGAGCGTTTAGGAGTTACACTGGTTGCTTTGTAGGGGCTCGGATAGCATGCGACAATAAAAGAATCGATAATGACCACCCGTTTTGTTGGCCAGGCGGTCGCGTTCCATGATGTGCATACTTTGGTACCGAATGCAGGCTGCGCCATGTCGCTCGGAGCAGCTTGTCAGCGCCTGCAGCTTGCAGCTGCGCAGTGCCATACTGCATGTTGCGACAGACTGACATGCGCAGGGCAGACGCTCGAATGAATATCTCAAGGCCGACAGACCTCCTGATGACCGGTATATTTACCATCGCGCTGTCCACGAAAGGGCTTCATGGACCCTTGTAGCATACGTAAAATCGACCAGCGACCAGCGACCAGAGCCAATAAGTCGCTGTGCCATGCCTCTCCACACTGAACTGTTTGGTAACGAGAGCCACAATGGCGAGGGTCTCGTATGCACGCAACCCGCAATATTGCGCGACTGACAGCTTCACACCACATCCCATCTACGTACTGACACCTAAACACCACCCCATACGAGAAGCCGCTTCTAGCAATTAGTCCTACATCTCAGCAACAAGCGTGTCCCCTCTCTTTCCGATACCCAGTTCGCCGACGACAAAATGGGTGCCTTCAGCGCTTTCGTTACCCGCCGAATGGATCCTGAGGCCGCAGAGAATAGCGGCCTGCGGAGATGGCGCAGACGTGCGAATACAGTCGCGGGAGGTAAGTTAGTTCCGGCTGGCAAGACTTGGAAGGGCAGTGATGCTGACATCGCGTCGCGCAAAGGTCAGGACGGTCACGATGTCAAGGAATCTTGGGCCAAGCGTGCGGCGAAGGGTCTCTGGGAGCGTGTCCACAAAAGCGGCAATCGAGCAAAGGATACTGAGGCTACTGGGACTGCGTTGATGCGCAATGGGAGCAACGACCTTTCTACGGGGGTGAGAACACAGCTGCTTATCTCTGCCCCTGTGGCTTTCCATTCCGATGACATGCCGGAGGGTTCTATTCGCGATAACGATGCGGCTGCGATTGAGGATCCCGGAAGTGTACCGGTACCAGTACAGTATGCGCATGGACAGCAGTACCTTGCGATCGAATCAGCCTCTTCCACAGCCGACATCGTCTCCTCCTCAACGACCGTGACCACCACCCACTTCGGAAGCCCACTGACACTGTGTCCTCGCCATACACATGCGCGAAGTCCCACACCTGACTGGATCCCGGCTTCCACAAGCCCCCGGGTCTCGGAGGTCTCTACCGCCATCGAGTCGCCCTCGGGTTCTGATTTATCAGTTGATCCCTATCACGAGCTCATCGACAGCATCGAACGATTTCACTTCGCTCTTCTTGTGGACTCCAGCACCATTGACAACATGTGCGGCGACATACGAGACGTACTTGAGATAGCTAGCAATAACTTGCTGACCGTCGGATGCGACCTACAAAGGCTGCTAGTCATCTGGCGTAAGCTCACCAACAACGCAGCGAACGTCGCTGTGCTTGGGTTGCTAGAACCATGGGCCCTTGTAAGCAAGGAGTATGTCGTGAAAGCTTGCGCAGACATGAAGAAAGGCCTTCAGTCCTATGAGGACTGGTCGGACATCATGGCTCGCAAAAAGATGATAGCCCAATCTCAGAACGCGATCAGCCATGAGTGGTGCGCAGCCTTGAACGAAAATATTAAAGGGCTCGACGTGCTCGAAGCGCTGGACTTTGACGATGTTGCTGCTCAGGTAGAGTTTGTAATGAGGAAGTACATCGGTGCTGAGGAGGAAGTCGCGACTCTAGATGGACCAGCTGCTCCTGCCAGCATGACTAACACGGTGCTGCCTAGCGCCCTGTCCAGACACCGCCGCACCTCGGTTTCACTGAGTAAGCGTCTTTTCATCACACTGTCGCGACCGCGATGTGGTTCGACCAGCCCGCAAGCAAGCCCAAGGGCCTCGCAACCAACATCGCGATACCCACAGTTGTGCCAATCGCTTACGCCTCCCGCACAAACATCAAGGCCATCACCCCCAGAAGCCTCGGTGAAATACGAAAGCCAGCCTACTCCGGCTGTAGCGAGCGCCCCTAGCCATGCCCAGCCTGCGACAGCCACTTTGAGGTCGACTGCGTGTACCACGAATGCGCCCAGCTATGCCCGGCCGACGAAAGCAAGCATGGGATGGTGCCAACCGACAGCCAGCAACAGCATGACTGCATCCAGAGTCGCGTCAGCATCTCAGTCGTACCGTCCAGCTTCTGCAACCTACGGTCTCCGGGCGACTCGGGTACAACTCCAGAGAACCCCAAACGACGAGCACAGAGGCCCTTCATCTGATCTCGAACACGCTCCGCCCATCCCACCCAAGTCCATCAAAAGACTGATACCCAGAGCTTCCTCCCCGTTGCCCGCCCACCTACGCTCCGACTCAGCTCAATCTCTATCGCGGAACGACGTAGTTGCTACTCGGCGAAGTACCTGCCCGTCGATCTATACAAACAGCAAGCTTCCAGTGAAAGCCAATGGCACGAACCATAGCGATTTCCTTCGACTCGCCAAGGCTGATCCGCAGACCGCGCATGACGCGAACACGGCCCGCGTACCTACACCACGACCCATGCGCGACAAGCTCGCCGTTGGCGTCGATCACGATCGGGATCCCAGCCCGAACACGCATCACATGGCGGTCAGAATGGACGAGATACGCGCGAGGATGAGTCGGATGACCGCAGACATTAAGGCAAGAAAGCTGGCCAGAGAGAGTGTCGCTGGAAGGGAGCTGACGGTGGAGGCAACGAAAGATGGATGGACGAAAGCTAGAGATGATGCGCACGCCCAGGAAGGCTAATGAGGATAGAGACACACCAGACGCCAGATGTCATTATGGGCAGCGAACACCAATGAAGTAAATGTCTCCGCGCCTGCCACTTTCGCATCCCATCCACCGATCGCGTTCCGGCGTTCCCGGTGTCTCCGCAATCGACCCCGAGTGTGTGAATATCCTACCAGTCTCGCCGATCTCAAGTATTGGGCTTGCACCACGCGAGAAGGTGTGATGTCTCAGAGTCACCAAATTTTACAGCAACTATGCTGACCTTGGCTCACACCGGAGCCGCAGACGGGGTTGTGAAAGGACGTTGATGATCTTCATTGATGCAGCCAGCATCCACGCGCTCCTCATTCGACGGACTTTACACAGCACGGTAGCTCTTTTCCACGTCGTCTTCACACGAGTCTCGATCTTACGGCCCGTTCCCCTGCTGTACCCGGTTGCACCGAACCCAGCGTGGTGGCGCGCCCACTGCGACCTATGAGATCCCATTTTTTGGCTCTTGTACCCGCAATGTGATGTTGCTTTCCCGTCATACTGGATCCAACATGGTTGACCTACCCGGACCACCTGTCCGCCACGCGCTTCGACCCTCACAGCTGGGTCGCCGAAGAGACGGCTGTCCCGAAATGACCTGCAGCAACCGCCTCATCGTGATCATAGCTGACATAGCGAAGCATCGAATGACTGGGAATGGGGCCTTCGGTGGTCTCGATACGTTGGCGGCGTGAGTCTGGGCTCGAGCACGCACGCTGCAGCAACTCAACGATTCACCGTCACATTACCATTGGCCTCAACTGGTAAGATGCTATACTGCCTAGGATATATGAGACTATGCCAAGTGGTTGGTGTCACTCCTCATGAACAGCAGCGTTCACATTGACCGCTACTCGCAAAGCAATCCGCGTCCCCGTTCCACGTCTGCTTGTCCAAAGAGCCCTTCGAGGTGCGACGGTAACGAAACGTCCACACCGCCGAAGAATGCTGGCTTGGCGAGTATGCAGGGTTCGTAGCACAATATGCAGTTCAGTTCCGAGATCACCGATAATACGTACGCTTCAAGGCGCGCGGCATCGGTACAAACCTCCAGTAATTCTCAAGCACTCAGCGAGCCCTTACAACACTTCGACTTCTACATATGAGCCGACTGAAGTGTTTGAAAGCAACCTGGCATCCTTCCAGGAAAACCAACCTTCAACATGCCTCTCCAGAAGCCTCATCCTCAGGTTCAATCGCTCAAGGTTCAGCCTGAAACCGCGCTACAACAGTTGCAGGAAAGGCGGAGCACTCTCCATAGCATCAGCGAACTCAATGCGACTGACGTGGCGACACCTGAGCTTCGTGCCTTCGCCGCTGCGATACAGAATCCGCCGCGAGACCGGGAGCGCGCCCTCAAAGCCGGACGTAATGCTGTAACGACCAATAAACAACCGAGTCGATACCGACGCTTGTCGAGCTCGGAATGCTCTCAAGCCGAAGCTACAGTTCCTCAATCGCTTTGGCATTCTACAGTAAGCCACCAAGAACGGTACGCACAGAGCCTCCATGGCAAAGGGATGAACCTGGAGGAGGAAGGCTGGAACGCCCGACGAGAGCATTCAGGCTTCCACCACAGAGGGGCAGTAACGTCGCGGGAACGTCGCCGCCAGTCACTGCAACACATGCCACAGGATGGAAATTATTCCAAGATGAAAAGGCAATCAGTGCGCTTTACCTCACGGTCCAACCTTCGATCATACTCCAGTCATCCCCAATTACTCGCCAACGGCTATTCAATGAGCGATTTCTCATTTTCCTCGACGTCAAGCGGCACTCTTGACCGGCGATCCAGCGTTGGAACCATAAATAGCCAGTCACGTCCCTGGTCGCATAGTCTTGAGGCTAGTGATGTGTACCCAAGTGCTGGGTCTTTCGATCGCGCCGCACAAGGAACGAGCTCCGACTCGTTAGATAAACACTTAAACACAGCTGAACTTCCACTGAATCCCGTCGCCTTGCCATCGAGGCTGAGATATCGCCAAATGACCACTCCGACCCACGAGAACCTCCCGCGACCGAACTCAGCGAGCCCGATGCGGCTGGAACTGACTGCACTTTCGGCGTCGCTGCCTACCCCGCGCATTGCTCATGTTGACCTGTCACAACAGAACCGGAGACGCAGCATGTCTCGCTCCGCTCAGCAGCATCACCAAGGCGAATTGCGAAGAGCACGTTCGGAGTCACTTGCTGCACTCACAGCTGCTCAGCCGGGGTCGTGCGGCCAGCAGCGTACATCGTCTTCGCGCTTCAGCGCTTCACCATCCGAAGACGCTCTCCCAGAGCAGACGCATCGCTCATCTCTCCATCTTCATGCGCAGCCGGGTATGTATCACGGGCCTCCGCCGCAGTACGTTTCGCCGCCCCCGCTGGTTCGTCACCCCAACATGGCTATCGCTCCAGACCGAAGTAGCCCTGGACTCGGACGGCGCGCGATACCGACCCGCGAAAGCCTGTCGCAGTGGAACTCAGAACGCGAAGAAGCAAAGATGGGCCTCGGCGACATGCATCGCGCAGACATGAAGGAGAGAGTGCGACGCGCGAACGAGTTGGAGCTGGAGAAAGAGCAAGAGCTGGTACACTTGGAGAAGAAAGCGAGTGGTGTCGCTCAAGACAACGCGCGAGGCTGCTTCGGCGCAATGCTGCGCCTGTTTAAAGTTAGTTTAGAATAATAATAACTGCAGTCTTGCTATTACGTAAATAGAGGTTATCTTAGAGAGTAAACTAGAACAGGTAATAGAAAAACAGCCTAGCCTTGTATTAGAGTTAACTCTACTCTAGAGGACGTGCTTAGGGCCACTGGCCCTAAGCAAATTTTAGTAAGGGCGATAAGCACTAATAAGAAATAAAGGGTAGCCCTAAAGTAGTAGCTCTAAGGCTTTTAAACTTTACTACCTAAGAGCCTAGATAAAATCTAAGTAGGTTATTTTGTGTAGAATTACTGCGCGAATTTAACGCTATACTTAGCTTATTAATAGCTACTTGCGTTATAAAGTTATAAAGTAGGGAAGTTTAGAGCTAAATTTTAAAGTTCTTTACGTAATTACTGCGCTTACTGCTAGTACAGCCTACGTACAGCTAAATCTAACGCCTACAGCTAAATTTTAACGCCTATAGCTAAATTTTAGGCTTAAATTAAGGCTAAAATTAGACACTTATAGTTAGAATTAGTTACTAAATTAAGCACTTAAAATAGGCGCCTCTATAGCTAGAGATTAGTACCTCTATAGCTAAAAAAGAGCGCCTTTATAGCTAAATCTAATACCTGCAGCTAAATTTTAACGCCTATAGCTAAATTTAAGACTTAAATTAAGGCTAAAATTAGGCGCCTATAGTTAGAATTAGTTACTAAATTAAGTACTTAAAATAGGCGCCTCTATAGCTAGAGATTAGTGCCTCTATAGCTAAAAAAGAGCACTTTTATAGCTAAATCTAACGCCTATAGCTAAATTTTAATACCTATAGCTAAATTTTAAGCTTAAATTAAAGCTAAAATTAAGCGCCTATAGTTAGAATTAGTTACTAAATTAAGCACTTAAAATAGGCGCCTCTAGTGTTAAATTTAGTGTCTCTACAGCTATATATACTCTATTATACTTAGTATTAGTAGCTAGCTAACTTAGAATATTATTTCTCTAGCTCTAGAGCGCGCTAGCTCTACCTTCTCTTATTACGTCTTACTACTTAATATCTTTACTTTTCTATCTATCTTCTTACTAAATTGCGCCTTAGGCACCTACTTTATTTCTCTATAGTACACTACCTCTATATTTACTTACTTACGCTCTCTTTTCTACTAAAATTATTTTAACTAAGCGCGCTTACTTTAAAATTAACGCGTCTCTACTATAAACGCAAGCTCTACTACTACTCTAACTTATCTCTCTACTACCTCTATACTCTTATAAGAAGCTTAGAGTACTTAATTTCTTTAAGCCTAGTAGTAGTATAATAACTACTAGCTCTTCTATATACTAGAGCACTACTAGCTCTTCTAAATAATAGAGTACTACTAGCTCTTTTAAACTATAGAGTACTACTAGCTCTTATAAATACTAGAGTACTTTACTTTCTACTATACTTTTCTACACTAGCACTATTACTACGCACTATAGTAATCTTATATAGATAGCTAAGTAGCTATTCTATAAATTTAAAGAGAGTACTACCTACGTTAGGTCTCTTATATAGCTTATTTACTACTATACTAAGAAGATTATAGTTATCTATAAAGAGAAGAAATATCTTAAGAAATTAGCTACGTACTATAAGTAAGAGGTAACTAAGGCTAAGAGTAAAGTTAAATTATACTATAATAAGGTGTAGAGCGCACGCAAAGACAGCAAGAGGTACTAGAAGTAAGTTAACTTCTACTACAAGATAGTATACAGAGCCTATAATATTATTAATAAAGCTATTTATTTACGCTCTACTAGCCTATCTAAGTTAGATAGGTTAATTAGTAATTAGCTTTCTTTATACTTTAGGCTTATAACACTACCTTTTATATTAATCTTCTCTCTTCTATTACTATAGAGTTATAGCCTCTACTCTTTAATAAATAAAAAGCGCTATTAAATTTATAAAGTGTAGCCTATAGTATAGGTATTATAAAAGTAATTATGTAGCTAAAGACTCTACTTCTTAGCTACCTTATAACTAGCGCTTACGCTAGTCTTTAGGCTAATACTCTACTTATAACACCTATAATAGCTCTACCTATCTACTAGCTCTAAGGCTTAGCGCCTAAAATTTAAACTCTAGGTAACTACTTAAGCTATCTACTAGTATACTAAGTTCTTATCTACAAAGACTATAGCGCTGTCTACAATTAGACTAGATATCTTAAGAAGTCTTACTAAGTTAAGAAGAAAGAGTAGTAAGCGCTAGATAAACGCTATTAGATTAGCACTCTTCTACTTACTAACCTAAGAGATATTACTCTTCTACTACTAAATTAACTACTAATACTACTTCTAGGCGCTCTAATTCTAGCTTACTCTTGTACCTATATAGGCTGTAAATTTATTACTAAGAACTATAATAAGATTTAGCGCTATTATAATAAAGCCTATAACTAGAGAAACAGCCTCTAAGACTAGAAGTCTTAGGCTTACATTTAAGCGCAGATATTCTTCTACACTAGTAGCTTTTAGAAATACTTTAAAGTATAGCCTATTACTAAAGGTAAAAGCAGCACTCTCTCTAGCGAAATTTTACTTATATTATAAGAAATTTAAAGTTTATAGGTAAAGTATATAGAGTTACTTACTATAGCTAACGCTATAGTTATAAAAACTAACTACACTAGCTAGTTTAAGAGAAATTACTAGCTAATTTATCTTACTAAGTGTAATCTTCTCTATCTTTACTAGGCAAGCTGCATACTTAATAAAGATAACACGCTACTTACTTAGGTAGCTACTATTATTAAATAAGTAATTAAATAGGTAGTTAGTAGGCTTTCTACTCTTAGGCTTAAGAGTAGACGCTAGTTATAAAGCTCTAATACTAAGTAAATTAACCTGCGCCTAATAGCACGCCTACAAAACCTAGAAAGCTAGAAGTAGTATACTAGGTATATAAAACGCTTTATCTACTACCTACTACGTATCTATAACGCCTAAGAGATAGACGCTAATAGTAGTAGAAGCGATTTATTTTAAACTTAGCTTAGTGTAGAGAGTAAACTAAATTTAAACACTAATAGTTAGACTAGCCTCTTACTACACTATAGAGATAAAATACGTAATATAAAGTAGCTATTCTTCTAGACTAGTAGCTAAAAGTAACTTACTAGAGACTTTATTAGCGCTATATACCTAGATAGCCTAGCCTCTTAAATTACCTATCTTCTACGCCTATTTTAAGAGTTTATATTTTACATTACTAGAGACAAGCTCTTTAGTAGTAGGTTAATTTACTTTCTTACTATTTTAAGTATTAATAAAACTACTAACTACCTGCAAGAGGCCTATAATTACTTCTATATACTAGTAGAAGTAGTATACTATATACGCGTGTTAGCTATTAAAATTCTACTTTCTACTACTAATTGCTAGTAGTAAACTAAGTAAGACAGGGAGCATTTTATCTAGGTAAGAAAGTAGTACCTAGTTAACAGCACGTACAGCCTCTTTAGCAAGATACTAAGCCTTTTAGTATATTTAAAGTATATTACATTAAATACTACTAATACTTCTATCTTATAGTAGTCTAAAGATAGAGGCACTTTGTATATATATAGTTAGCTAATTCTATTAACTAGTTTTTAAGCTATAGTTGCTAGTATACTATAAAAGAGAAAGAACGCTCTTTAGAAGAACTTACTTTAGACTACTATAGAGGTAGAGCAATTTTAAATACTACTTAGAAAGATTTAGAATAACGTTACCTTTAGCTAAAGAGGCTATTTCTTTCTTTTACGCTCTAATAATAAATTAGTATATAGTTTAGAAGAAACTATATCTAAGATACTAGCTAGTTCTTAGAGCTGCAAACTGCGCAGCCTCTAAAATACTTTCTAGTAACTTTAGGTAGTGCGCTGCTACCTAAAAAAGGTAGACTAATTTCTTAAAATTCTTCTCTTTCTTACCTACATTACTAGTAGGTAGCTAGCTAGAGGTACTAAAATTACTTCTATCTACTATCGCAACAGCTATATACAAGACTAAAACATATTTATTATAAATAGCTAGATAGTGTTTATTAGTAGGTATTATAAAAGTTAGGCCTTATAGAATAAGTCTAAAGTTATTCTATAGTTTTTGCTCTAGCAAGTTAGTTAGTTATTTACTATCTACTTAGTGTACGTCTAGCTACTTACTAAGTACCTTAAAAGTAAGGTGTAAGGCGCTTTACTAATAAACTATATCTAGGCAACTACTACTAGCCTCTAGAAGACTAACTAGCTTAGCAACATTATTACCTATAAGACTAGAATCTAGTTAGGCTGCTAGCTTACTACCTTATAGTACTAGCACACTGCTATTACAATTAGGCGCAAGGTAGTTAGCACAGAGTTTAGTAAGAGTATAAAGAAAGCACTTACTAAGAGTAAATAGAAAGAGCCTAAAATACAGCCTAAAAGTAGATTAGATCTTTAGATAGGCTGCTTAGAGCTTATAGGCACTCTTTACTATAGCGTTAAAATAAGTATTATATTCTATCTTAGCTACTACTTACTTAAACTATTTTAAAATTTAAGTAGCTAGTAGTACTTCTTTCTTTAACTTTTAAGCGCTTTACTTACTAAGCTTATACTAAAAGGCGCAGCAAAGAGTAGTATATTAGGTAAAGAAAGAAGTAATACTAGAGCTACCTAGTTAACTAGTCTACCTAATTACTAGCTTATAGGTAATAAAAGGCCTATAGTAATTAGTAATTCTAACCTTAAAGCCTTAGTTCGTAAGGTTGTATAGAAAGAGAGTCTACTTACTTTTAAATTACTAGAGCAGGAAATTATACTATAAGTAATCTTAGCTAGTAAGACGCTACTTATTATAGTACTTCTAATAAGTAGCAGCAAGAGTCTTCTCTTTATAGCGCCTACCTATCTTTTAGACCTAGAGGTTACTATTATTATTATACTCTTCCGCGAGCTAATTTAAGACCTAAAGCGCTAGTTAGTAGAGGCCTAAATTCTAGTAATTAAATA